AATTAAGCTTCTTGGAGGAAAATAATTTTGTTGTACCTGACTACATGCCATGTTTCATAGAGAACTTATAGAATAATATTTTCCTGAAATTCCCCATTTTCCTGAAATTCCCCAGAGTTCTAAAAAAAAAAAAAACTTACCAGGTGGTGGTGACAAACTGGAATTATCAGTATCTTCTGTTGAGGAAAAGAGGTGATTCAGAATTAGTTTCATGAGGACTAAAATCAATACAATTATATTAAGGATTTTTTGTCAAATAAGTAGGTTTTAGCTACTTATGTCACTAAAAAAAAGTATGTGAATGTTTATCAGCCTCACTACTGTAACAATTTTACTATCCCTGTGTACTCCATCCCATCATGTTATAAACCTCAAATGTGCACAATAAAATTTATTTTTAAAAATAAGATAAAATTAGTTTAATTTATGCACACATTTGTAGGAGATTAACATCTTTAATGGAAGTGAACGTAAGCTGAATTACAAATAGCTACCAAAAGAGGGCAGTATGTTAATTTACTATTATTTTCAACAGCCTAAGCAATCCTTTTTAATTCTCTACAGAGACCTATCTTTGGTGAGGCAATCTTTCCAATTTTGAACTGTTGGTGGTGCTTCATCTATTTTGTCATATAATGGTTTAGCTAATTTCAAACTGAAAATGATGACTAAGAACGTCAGCTGTTGGATAATATTTCTAAAAATGTATAAAAGTAAACGTGTATGTTTGCATAAATTAAACTTCCGTTAACTGTGCTGCTTTTGAACACAGACGTTGTATCTATTCAGCCATTTCTTTCTTATGAGTTAAGCTAGATCAGACGTCTCTGGGTTTATAAACTACAAGAGCTGCTGAGTTATTTATTTGGGGAAAGTGCTCAGATCCCTTAAAAGAAAAGTAATTCTATATTTCTGTCTATGAAAATAATACATACTTATTGGAGAAACTTTAGAAATGACAGATAAGCAAGAAGAAGAAAATAAAAACCATCTATAATTTTGCCACTCAGAGAAAAATGACATTAACATGTTGGTATATATTACTCTTTCTTTGTGTGTATATATATGTACATATATACAGATATATGCATATGTGTTTATATGTGTATATGTATTTACATATATACAGATACATGCATATGTTTATATGTGTATATATGTATGTATATGTATAAGGATTATATCACACAAATATATTTATAACTTGATTTTTCTTATGACAATATATCCTGAATGTCATTCTGTATCATCAGTTTTCCACAACACCATCTATGATGGCTGAATAGCACTTCAATTGTTGTATGTACCATTTATCTATATAACACATTTCCTCTTAATGGGCATTTTGGTGCGTACGATTTTTCATGATTACAAACAATGCTGCAATAAGTCCTTTGGGCTAAATTTTTACATACATATGTGGCTATTTCTTTCAGAAATTCCATAAATATTGTTTGCAAAATGCCCTAGAGAAAACTTGGACCAATTTACACTACCCTTTGGGAGTGATACATCCCCAAACACTGACCCACATGGGGTGTTATCTTATACATGAAAAAAAATTAATTACAAAGAGATAATTATTTTCACAATGATATCTTGAGATATAATTAATAGGAAAGAGTAAGTATGTTTGCAAACTAATAAAGAACAGTGAAACATACCTGGTAGCCTCCAGGAGCCTATTTTCTTGAAATGATGGTAGGGTACTGATTGTTTTCTGGGATAATTAAAATCATAGTTCTGCTTGAAAGCAGGACTGAATAAGTGCCCAAGTTCCCCAATTACCCTGCAGCCAACAAGGCAAAAGTAGGCAAGTGGCTAGGTGCTTTGGTGCCCTAATTTAATTGGAGTTACTTCTTCCTTAGTCTCTGTTCTTCCATATCTCTCATGTTACTTTAATATTCCACTAATCAGAGTCTGTTGAGTTAGCTTTTAAAGGGTTAATTTTGTTTTTGAGACAGGGTCTCACTTTGTTGCCCAGGCTGGAGTGCAGTGGTGCAATTGTGGCTCACTGCAGCCTCGGACCTCCCAGGCTCAAGTGATCCTCCCACCTCAGCCTCTTGAGTAGCTGGGGACCATAGGTATGCACCACCACACCTAGCTAATTATTTTATTTTATTTTTTGTAGAGACGGGGGTCTCACTATGTTGCCAGGGCTGGTCTTGAACTCCTGAGGCTCAAGCACCCACCTCGGCCTCCCAAAGTGCTGGGATTACAGGTGTGAGCCACCATGCCCAGCCTGAAAGGGTTAATTTAAAAAATATATTTTGGAGCACTTAAGGGGTTATCAGTCATTCACATCTTAGTATGAGTTCATTTGAATTGGGTGAATTCATCTGATCATCTAGCAAAGAGCTACCACACTGGGCAACGTGGGAAAGCCCTGGGTAAAATCAATATTCAATATGGACTACCCTCAGAATGACACCTGTCAGTGTGGGCAGGTAAAGTGACGAAGGGCAGGCACCTGGCAAAGGCAGGCAGCAGGATGAAGGCACCTGGGAAGACTTAGGTACCAGAGAAGAGGGATGGAGAGTGACGTCGAGGGGCAACAGAGGCTAACATTGCTTCACTGACAATTTTGCCCAGTGGATGGCCATAGTTCCAACCTTCTCCACTGCCAAATCTGTTGACCAGAGCTGTGTACACACAGGGGGCTGATTTGCATTTCACCTCTTTCTTACTTATTAGAAAAAAATGGGCAACTCAAGCGTAAGAGAAGAGCCAGAGCAGAGAAGGAAGTTTTTCTGGAAACTCACAAAACTGGTCCACCATCCCTGAGTTTGATAGGTGTGGGCTTATAATCAAGAGCTGAAACTTGATCAAAATGTAGACGAGACTGGGCGCAGTGGCTCACATCTATAATCCCAGCACTTTAGGAGGCCGAGGCAGGAGGATTGCTTGAGGCCAGGAGTTCGAGACCAGCCTGGCCAACATGGAGAAACGCCATCTCTACTAAAAACACAGAAATTAGCCAGGCATGGTGGTGCACATCTGTGATCCCAGCTACTTGGGAGGCTGAGACATGAGAATTGCTTGAACCCAGGAGGCAGAGGTTGCAGTGAGCTGAGATCACACCACTGCACTCCAGCCTGGGCGACAGAGCCAGACTCTGTTTCAACAACAACAACAACAAAAAAGTAGATGAGGGGTTGGACCGTCTCTTTCATCAAGAAATGTACAGGGCTCTCGGTAACTCCCAACAGGAAAGACGGCGCTCTACTTTGATGAAGGGAGGGCATCTAGTAAATTAAAGCTAGATATTTTTAAATGATTCTTCTCTGCTTTTCTCTTTTGGCATTTCTTTTTCCTTTAGGAACCCAGCTACTCAGTGACTAACATGTATTCACTTTTTCTGTCTCTCATTATGATGCTCCACCTCACTCCTGGTCCAACCTAGAGGTATCCCCCCAGGACTTACACTTCCCTGAGGATCAGCTTATGTTTCTCTTGGGCCCTTTCCTAACTCACTTCCCATTTGTTACAACTTAAAGAGGTGGTCGTCATATCCAGTGAGTCATATATTTGAGCTCCATGCCACTCTTAGGAGACAAAACATTTCCATTGTTAAAAAGATTCATAAACAAAGAAAGGAAAAACATTTAAAATTTTCAGATTTTCCTTTGGAACCTACAAAGAGCCAATTTTCAAGCATTATTCATTTATGGAAGTCTCAATTTAAGTCAATAAATAAAATTATGGTGCTGTGTCTATAAAATTTACTCAGTATGACTCCCTAGTGATTTTTTTTTTTTAAACAAAGTCCATATATTCCAATTAGGATGAGCAGGAGTTTGGCTTAGAATGGAAGCCAAATGGAGCCAAACGAACTGGAAACTTAAGAAACTGGCCCCATCGATGGAGTCTCTTTCCCTGCATCCCCTCCCAGGCACTTTTTTTTTTTCAGTTATTGCCACTACCTTCCAAACTCTAATCCCACATGGCCAAGTGTGGTTTGAGCACTGCCATGTGAATGTCTTGCTGTCATTGCTTCTCCAACTTGGTATATCCAAGAACTCATCCCTCATCACCCCACATCATTTCCACATTTGATCAGTTCCTGAACTCAATAGTATTGCCGGTAACACCAGCCAAACATTGAAGTTGAAAACTTCAGTACCAGTTTGCTGTTGCTGCTGTACCATTAACTTAGTGGCTTCAAACACAAAATTGTTATCTTAGAGTTCTGCAGGTCAGACGTCCAGTAGGAGTCTCACCAGATTAAAATTAATGCTGCCGATGATGCTAGGCCACATTCTTTTCTGGAAACTCCAGGGGAGAATCCATTTCCTGCTTATTCAGGATAAGCAGAATTCAGATCCTTGTGGTTGTAGGACCAAGGTCCTCATTTTCTTGCTAGCAATAAATTGAGGGCCATCCTTCAATTCCCAGAGTCTAGAAGCCCTCCACATTTCTTGGCTCATGCCCCATTCCTCCATCTTCAAAGTCAGCCATGATGGGACAGGGCCAGGTCTTTCTCAGGTGGCATCACTCTGACTCCTCTTCACTTTTAAGAGCTATTAGGCCCACCCAAGTAGTCCACGATAATCTCATGGTCTTTCATTTTAATCACACCTGCAAATTTCCTTTTGCTATGTAAGGTAACGTATTTACAGGTACCAGGGATTTTAAGATGTGGACATCTTTGGGGAGCCATTAGTCTTTCCACCATACTCAGAAACCCAGTTTCCTAAATTATGGAGAATGAGTTGCAAGGAACCATCCTTCAAGAGAGAAAATCCTACAGGGGTCAAGTGAAGAGCTCAGAAACAAAGAGTTACTTTTAACAGTAGAGTCGAGTCTACAAACCAAGATGCTAACTCTCTGGCCATTGCTCCTGACTCCTTCCCATCCCCAACTCCCACCTCCATATCCAGTCATTGCATCCCGGGCAGTCTTCTCATTGTAGCACGGGGCTGTTGCAAGGATTCTCAAAGAGAGAATGTACATGGCATAACAGGAATAGCAAAAACTGACCCATGCTTCCTGTGATCCAGGCTTACCACATGAAGGACTTCAAACAAACTTTATTATTTAATCAGTCAACAACTTTGCAAATGTGATGAACACTGAGGATCCTCAGATGGATCGATTATCCTGGATTACCTGGGTGGGCCCAATCTAGTCCATGAGTTCTTAAAAGTGGAAGAGGAAGGCAGAAGAGTGGGTCAGAGTTATGCCACGAGAAGGACTCCTCGACCCTGAAGAGGTAGGTGATATCATTAACATCATTCCTTGTTAGTGCTTGAGAAACTGAGGCTGGGTGAGGTTTAGAAACTTGTTCAAGGCCCCACAGATCATTGCTTGTAGACCTGAGATTTGAACGAAGACAGTTTGACTTCTGAGCCTAACCTCTGAGGCTCTACTCTATCCCAGTTCCAATGATAAACTCTGTAGACCATAAACGAATACAGAAATGTGGGGTATTATTATTATTATTATTATTATTTTGAGACAGAGTCTCGCTCTGTCACCCAGGCCAGAGTGCAGTGGCTTGATCTCGGCTCACTGCAAGCTCCTCCTCCTGGGTTCAAGCGATTCTCCTGCCTCAGTCTCCCGAGTAGCTTGGATTACAGGCACCTGCCACCACGCCTGGCTAATTTTTGTATTTTTAGTAGAGATGGGGTTTCACCGTGTTGGCCAGGCTGGTCTCGAACTCCTGACCTTAAGTGATCTGCCTGCCTTGGCCTTCCAAAGTGCTGCGATTACAGGTGTGAGCCACCGTGCCTGGCCATAGGGTATTATTATTAATCTCCCTTAATCTCCCTCTCATCTGTCCCTTCTCCCCATGTTCACTGCCCTCTTCCATACCCAGACCATCATTGCCTCATACCCGGATGAAAAATTAGAACCCTAGAACCTTCTAATTGGAAGGAATCCTAACATTCTTTGCATCCTATTTCTTCCCCCATACAGTAATCCATCTACCAATTGTACACCGACAGTCTCAATTCAGCCTCCAAACAAGTTTTATCTTGTCTACATAGTGGGAATTATGCTGGAGTTTTTTGTTATTATTATCCTTTTAGTGACAGGGTCTTGCTCCGTTGCCCAGGCTGGAGTGCAGTGGCACAATCATAGCTCACTGCAGCCTACCACTCATGGGCTCAAGGGATCCTCCCACATCAGCCTCCTGAGTAGCTGGGACTAGTAGGCACATACCACTACACCTGGCTATTTAAAAAAATTTTTTTCAGAAATGGGGGGGTCAAACTCCTGGGCTCAAGTGATCCTCCTGCCTTAGCCTCCTGAGTAGCTGGGACTACAGAGGTGTGGCACCATGCCCAGCTCCAAGTTACTGAAAATTTGAATTACTCACTAACATATAAAAATCAGGAAATTTCAAATAAAATTCCAATTTTTCACCTTGCTTTACAAAATTGTAAGTTTTGGGAGATGACCCCTTTATGTTGGCTCCCTGGCCCTCTAAAGCATGCCCTGGTTACAAAAGCTGATGGAGCTGGCTCTCTCCTCTTTATATCTTCAAGTATTCATTGACTACACCCTTCATTCACTTGGCATTTGGACAGATGTCATCTAACTTTTCCACTGTGTGCCTTGTTTACCCAACTAGATGCTAAGCTGCTTGATGCTTTATTTATTACCTTCCAGGAATCTAGTCCAGTGTCTTGTTTGTGGTTGATGTCCTAAAATATTTTTGCAACGACTAATGAAATCCTTAAGAAATCTCCGTCAGTCAGAGATCAGTCGGGAACCCACGACAGGTAGTTCAAGAGCAGGAATGTAACACAGGGAAATGGTGCAACGATGAAGAACTGGAGCAATCCAAAGGTGAGTAACAGCAGGAAGATGCTGGAAGAGCAAAGGAGGGAGGTAATATTACCAGATACCGATGAACAGAGCCATGGGGCAGGAGTTCAGGCCAAGGGATGTTGGAGGGGGTCTGTCCAGTGAGACTGGAATCACGGAAGAGACACAGTCCCCATTAGAGATGCCAGCCAAACCGAGAGAGGGGGAGAAATACACTGACTTCCCCCTTTCCTCTTGCACTCCAATCTCCTGTCACTGCCACCCACTGGCCGAACCTAGCTGGAAGCCAGTTGGCAAGGAGACATGAAAGATATTGCAAGGGGTCAGGTCTCTGTGATACAGAGTAAGGGAAGGTTGGGGATTGAATCTGAAAGTAACAAGGCAAAATGACTAATGCAGAGTCAACAGAGGAAAGACTCAAGAATACTTCTAAGATGACTGTGACTCAGATTCCAAAGTTTGGAAGAGTAGTTATAGCTGCGGATCATAGCAGATAGATGCCTTAAACAGGTCTTACAAATGTATGCTAAAATGTCCACCCAAATACATATCAAAAACAACATTAAAAAGTCAGCCATTGTGAGCCCCCATTGCCTACAGCGGTGACCTAAATAACATACCCGTTACTGACTTTTCCTCTTTTCTTAACGCCTTCCCCCTTCTCTCTTTTGCTAATGCCTGCTCCTTCACTCCTGATTCCTGGGATAACCTCCCAAATAAACTACCTGCACCACAGTCATGCAAGGTCATGTCTGGGTGTTTCTGAAGTGTTCATTTTTCTCCCTGCGGTTTGACACCGTGGTAGATATTAAGACTTCAAATGTGAGATGGTTGTCTTACAGCTGTGATTGTGGTAATACTGTGAGTATTTACTTCTACCACGTTCTTCCCCAAGTTGGATGGGAAAGACAAAGGCTTAATCTTTTGGGAGTGGATCTAAAAAGATTACGACTAGCTCTCCTTGCATGAATATTTTCAACCCGACTGAAACTTGTAACCTGGTGGCAGTCCTCTGGATTGAATTACTGTTCCATAGAGAGATAATTAAAAACAAGCCACCACGCCTAGGCACTCTTATATGGGAATCCCAAACAGAACAATATTTTTGTTGTTATTACACTGGCTCTTCAGGGCTTGGGATAACAGACACTCTTCCAGGAACTGCATTTTCAGAGTTTACTACATAACCCCCCAAACTGAATGAAAACATTTCTAATCTGGCATATCCAAAACATGTTTACTTGCGCTGGGACACTGCTCAATAAGTACTCTTACATAATGTATTTATTAAACGATTAATAATGACATCATTAAAGAAAACTTCAGCTCTTAGCTGATGGAACTTCCCAAGGAGCAAGCAATCAGCAGTTCTAGGTGGACTTTGGCCAGAACGGGAAGAAGGTGAAATGTGTTCTTGAGCCCCCAGCCCCCAATTCTTGCTTTTCTCCTGCCTTCGCACAGTATCGCCCACCCATCCCCCTGGCTCTTGATCCCTCCAGAACTCATCCTGGTTCTCTCGGGGCTTTATGAACTGTCCCTTCCCCAAGGGTCCATGAGATGCATTTTGGAGCATCCATAAATGCCCCAAAATAAAATGCAAATGTGTGTTCGTATGCATGTTTTCCTGAGAAGAGCAGAGTCCCAAAAGGGAGTCTATTTTTAATTAACAAGCACTTATACACCGTTACTATATGACCGGGCACTGCATAAATATTAGCTCATTTAGCCCTCATAACAACCCTATAAGGTACGTTATCCCCATTTTACAGACAGGGAAATGGAGGAAAAGAGCAGTCAAGTAACTTGCCCAAGATTACATGTAAAAGGGCAGAACTAGGATGTGAGGCAGGCTCTCCAGCTTCACTACACCGGGCCGCTTCTCATCTTGGGCTGTGGGCTGAAAAGAAGGAAGGGCCACTGACCTACTGGGTGTCCATCGTGCTCCACCAGGAGGGATGTGCACTTAAGAAAGAATGAGAGCCTTGAAATTAACTTTCTGACCAGTAGAGGATACTGGGGGATCATTCCCCCTTCCCAGTGCCTCTGAAACTAGACACATGGCTAGCAATCTAGGCTGCTGGTCCTGGCCTGTGCTGATACGCTGATAATGGAGCGTCTTGGCTGTGCTTTTCTTTTAGAATGCTAGCCATGATTTCCATTCACTTCCAAAGTGACTGGTATAACTTCCCAAGGCTGGTAGCTTCTAGAGCTCTTTCAGTGTGATGACATGTAAATGCTGCTTAGGCTTTGAGGGTGGGGAAAGCGGAAGGCAGACTCGCCTTTATTGGACACTGATGACACTGGCCTTATACCTGTGCTCCTCACTCAATGAAATCTCCCCAACATTCCCATGAAACAGACAGCTCTCTACCCCAACCTTATCTTCTCCTGCCCTCCCCTCACTCAGCCACCCTGGCCTCCCTGCCGTTTCTCCAACACACCAAGCATATTCCCACCTCAGGGCCTTTGCCTCTGCTGTTCCACCTGCCTGGAACACTTTTCCCCAACAGGGTCCGTTGGTTTGCTGCAGAGTCTTCTACACATTTTACTGAAATGTCACCTTCTCCGAGAGGCTGGTCTAGACCAGTCTATTTCAAACTGCAACACTTTCTGCCTCTGCCTGATTCTTTTCATCTCTTTATGCGCAGGCTCGTTGCCATCTAGCGAGTTAATATGTTTATGTATGTGTGGACATCCACAGCCCTGGGAGCGGCTGTCTCCTTAATATTTTCTTCCCTGGACCCCTGACTTGCCTTATCCTACTCCTGGCCCTGTGTCATATGTAAGCTTTTTTTTTTTTTTCACCAAGAACCAACTTTCCACCCCAATGGGGATGATAGCACCTCCATAGAGAATGCATGCCCTAGGCAAGCTTCTCCAACCCTCAGTCCACAGGCCACATGTGGCCCAACACAAATTCATAAACTTTCTTAAAACATTATGAGAATTTTTTTGTGATTTTTTTTTTTAGCTCATCAGCTATCGTGTTAGTGTATTTTATGTGTGGCCCAAGACAATTCTTCTTCTAATGTGGCCCGGGGAAGCCAAAAGATTGGACACCTCTGCTGTGGGGTTATCTCTGCTTTCTCCAGAAGAGATACAGCGTGAAGAAAGAAACCCTCTCCTACCTGACCCCACTAGTGTCTCGAGTGATTCTGCTGCTCGCCAGCTGACACGTTCCTTCTCACCAAAGCATCTGTCACGTATGGGTTAGCAAGAGTCCCTTGTGGGAGTCTTAAGTGCAGAAGCGCCTGGAAAGGTGGCAGGGGTGCGTGCACTAGTGGTTTGGGTGTGGCGAGCGATTTTCCAATTTCCCTTAGTTCACACCACTCTTTGCCAGTTCACCATTGAGCAGTGATCACTTGGCATCTTAGTTTCCGTTCTCTGGGTCGCAGGACCTAAGATCAAGACTAGAGCGCAAGTACATTCTTTGGGAGGTGATCCCAGGAGGCAGGGAGAAAGAGACAGGGAAGGATGGAAGCCAAGTTTGGGGTGTTTGTTGTGGACAGTGGGAGCTCAAGTCCAAAGGGACCTCTGAGAAGCATAGAGAATGCCTTCTAGAATTGTCTCCAGGAAGGGCTGGAGGCTGGGGCATTTATCCAAGGCTCCCTCCCCAACAGTTGACATTTGCTTCTGGGCCATTACTTCCCCTGCACTCCTGGGCTCTTCCTGTGGCAGCTGAGCAGGCTGCCAGGGCTCAGGGGAAACCCCAGAGGCAGACAGGAGAAGTCTGCGAGCACAGAACTGTCCACCTCTTCTGTGACTGGTCTCATAGATGGCTCAAAAGGATGTGACAGGGGCACGAAAAGCAACGGCTACACTTGGGTTCCTTTGATTGACTTCTTGTACACACTTAGATGGACACAATGGCAGAGCTCACTGATTCTCAACCCTGGCTGCACGTTAATATCACCCCCAGGGAAATTACTGATATAGTCAGTCGTGGTAGTTAGCACCTCAAATCCCAGCTACTCAGGAGGCTTAGGTAGGAGGATCACTTGAGGCCAGGAGTTTGAGACCAGCCTGGGCAACGCAGCAAGAACCCATCTCTAAAAAAAATTTTTTTTAAAATTAAATGACTGATGTACAGATCCCACCCCTGATCATTTCAACCTGGGCATTTGCATTTTTGACAGCTCCTCTAACAATTCTGATGTGAAAAGAGGATGGATGGAGAAGCACTGATTCAGCCATGGCTGACATGTCGGAGTTGGAATGGACAGTGCTTGGACCTCACAGTCTCAGAGAACTGGGGAAGAGTAAAGCTGAAGAGGGTACCATCTGGTTACAAATGACAGCTCCAGGGCCCCAGGTGAGTGCTTTGTGTAAGAGGAGACTGCTGCGTGGTGATAGGATTAAAACTTATGTCCCCCGCCTCCTGGTTCCACGTCGCACATGGTGCCCATGACACTCTTTAAACCTCAGAAACCACTTCCCTATGGGCTCCAAGTCTAAAGCCTTAAACTAGAAGCTGAAAACCCCTGGTGGCAGATTGCATTTTCCATGAATGGCCACAGCAATATTTCTCATCTCACAAGTTCTTCCAGAACTTTGCCACTCTTCTGTCAAGAGGTGGAACCTATATCCCCTTCTCTTGATCCTGGATGGGCTTTGAGTAAGAGAACATGGTGCAAGTAACACTATGGGCTTCAGAGGATAGGTGACAAAAGGCAACAGAGCTTCTGCCTGCTCGCTCTCTCTCTCTCTCTTTCTCCCTCTCTCTTATCCTTAGAAACCAGGCCATGTAGAGAGGCCACATGGGAACTGAGGTTCCTAGTCGTTAGCTTCCACTGAGCTCCCAGCCAACAGCCAGCAATAACTTGCCAGACATGTGCACGGGCCATCTTGGAAGCAGAGGATCCAGCCCTCAGCCAAGATGCCCCAGTTGACTCCACGTGGACCAGGAATGAGCCCTCCTGCTGAGCTCTGCCCAAGTTACAGATCTGTGAGCAAACTAAATGACAGCTGTATTCAGCTACCAAGCTTGGGGTGGTTTGTAACACAGAAATAGATAACCGGAATATCACCCATGTCTTTCTTTCCAAACTTAGTTAACTGAGTCTGAGCTAAAGATAATTCACAATATGTATCTTATACTGAATACTTACTATATTTGGGACATGATCGCTAATAATCCTCACAATAGCCCTACAATAGGAAACAATCATCCTCATTTCACAAATAGAGAGTTTAATGGTAAGCCTGAACTCAAACTCAGATTTGTTTGACTTCAGAGCCCATACTTCTTTCACTAAGCTATACCATCTCCATTCACTCTATGCTCTCTGGCCACTTGAGAGGCTGTCTGTGAGTCTATCTCCTTATTAACCCGTCATTCCTTCTACTTCCGTGATAATCAGCAAGGCTGAATGATAGCTCTCAGTTCTATGGGGTCTTTCCAGGAGAAGGGCCAAAAGGGAGTGGCTGATCACAAGGTCATCAGCACAAAAAGATGGTGGCCAAGCTAGAGTCCTGCATGGCACATGAGCCAGATGATCAAGTAATGAAAGCTATGCTAAGAAATGTAGGCTTTATCTTGTGGAGAAGGAGAAGCAGTAGAGGCTTTTTAAGGTACATTTCAGAACAATTATTATTTTTACATTTATTATATATTATTTATATATATAAACCACAAATATATGTTACATATATACATATGTTTTTATGTCTATATATACACATATATACGTTTTTATGAATATATATACATATGTATATACAACACATAAAATTTACCATCTTAACTTTTTTTGAGATGGAGTCTCACTCTGTTGCCCTAACTGGAGTGCAGTGGCACGATCTCGGCTCACTGCAACCTTCACCTCCCAGGTTCAAACAATTCTCAGCCTCCCTAGTAGCTGGGAGTACAGACACCCGCCACCACACTCGGCTAATTTTTGTATTTTTAGTAGAGACAGGGTTTCACCATACTGGCCAGGTTAGTTTCGAACTCCTGACCTCAGGTGATCCGCCTGCCTCGGCCTCCCAAAGTGCTGGGATTACAGGCATGAGCCACTGTGCCCAGCCTCATCTTAACCATTTTTAAGTGTACAGTTTGGTTGCATTAAGTATGTCCACTTTTTATGCAACCATCTCCACTTTCTCTCTTTAGAACTTCTGCATCTTCCCAAACCAAAACCCCATACCTGTTAAACAATAACTCCCCATTCTCTCCTCCCCCTTGCCCCTGTTCCTGATACAGAACAATATTTTTTATATAACTATGCAATAAATGAGGGAAATCTGAAGTGGGAAGGCCAGAGAGTAAGCTACAGGGGTAGACTGGGAAAGATACGATGAGGACTTGAACCCATGCTTGGGAAGCTGGCATGAAAAGAGAGGTTCAACAGATCCTTCTAAGGTAAAAGTGAGAGGATTTGGTGGGGGGTCACTGGGATGTGGGAGTGAGGAATAAACAGGAATCGGCCTGCCAGCAGTTAATCTATCGAACTCCCACAGTCCACATGACCCTGTCCTGCACCCCTGAAGAAAGGAAGTGTGGCAGGTAGGTTAAGAGCCTAGACTCCAAAGACCAGGACAGCCTAGGTCCAAATCCTGGCTCTGCCATTTGCTAACTATGTAACTTTGACCACTTACTTAACCCATCTGCACTTCAGTTTCCCAGGTGAAAAACAGGCATGAAGATATAATTATAATAGGACATACTTCATAGGTACTACTGTTAAAGTATCGAGAAGAATACACAGTAAATACTGCTCACGTCAGTAGTTAATACAATGACTGTATTAGTCCGTTTTCATGCTCTGATAAAGACATACCCAAGACTGGGTAATTTATAAAGGAAAGAGGTTTAATTGACTCACATTTCCACATGGCTGGGGAGGCCTCACAATCATGGTGGAAGAGGAAGGACGAGCAAAGGGACGCCTTACATGGCAGCGGGCAAAAGAGAGAGCCAAGTGAAAGGGGGAAATCCCTTATAAAAACATCAGATCCCATGAAACTTATTTGCTACCACAAGAACAGTATGGGGGAAACCGCTCCCGTGATTCAATTATCTCCCACCAGGTCCCTCCCACAACATGTAGGAACTATGGGAGCTGCAATTCAAGATGACATTTGGGTGGGAATACAGCCAAACCATATCAAGGATGCATTCTCTATTCTTCATTTCCCCAGTGACTTATCTAAAAATGACTTCTCCCTTCTATGTGCAAGACTTCCACTCCAGTTTCTTTTCTCCTTATATTATTTGCTTCCAGTTTCTAAAATGTCCTTGGAATCACTTTGAGAACAGGGGAGGAGAGAGGCAGAGGGCTTCAGGAGATCTGATGACCATAACTTACGTTTTATAAGTTCTTGTACAAAGTCAAGAACAGGTGAAATTTCCAGGAAGAATGTAGAAGACACAGTTAATCACGATGTTATTGGGTTGCCCTTAAGTGGGATGCATGGTCTCCCTAGAGGGTCATAGGCTGGCTTCTAAAAAGTAACTAATTTTTTTTCTGATTATAATCATAATGTGGTTTTATGTGGGAAGAATTCTAAGCCACAGAAAAATATAAGGAAAAACCTTAAAAGTACTCCTAATCTTACCACTCAAAGATAACGTTAGCTGGCTGCAAGGATCTTCAGAATTCTCTAGGCTAGTTGCAGAACTGAAACAACGAAATAGAGCCTTGGGAGATGTTAGCTTCATGTTTTATTTAGAAGTATTAACAGATAGAAGATTGAGCTCATTAGCATGCTAGTATGTGTAGTGGCTCCATAATGCATCACCTTCGCTAGACTAACTACGTTTCCCAAAATTCCCTTTCCTGCATGTTTCTAATTAATGCAGGGCAGAAGAGAGTTTCCTGTGGGATATCTGGGCAGATGTGGGCAGCAGCCATTTTGTAGCTCAGATAGGTTGGCAATGATCAGTTGCCTTATCTTATTAGGACCAGGGAGCTGCCGGGCCTGTAACTGCTCCACCTTCTCCTGGGTTTTCCTTCAGCTTCTTTGGCTCTTGGGCCATGTGTGTACTTTATGATGAAGGGCCTAGCTTCTGCAGGACATCCATACTGCCAAGGTCAAAAGTAACAAGAAGTGACGTGGGTCTCAGTCTGTTCTCATGGGCTACAATGCATGCTTCTGGTTTCCAGGTTGTTCTTGCTCTCCCTTATCTTACATTTATCCTTCCTTCCCAACTGCCTGTCCCATAGATCTCGAGTCCCAGCATCAGATGTGAAGATGAGAGCTTTATAGAGACTGCTTAACCAGCTCCCACAGTTGTATTAGGACAAATCTCTGTAGCAAATCCCTTTGTGTGTGTGTGTGTGTGTGTGTGCGCGTGCGCGTGTGCGCACACGTGCACGCACCTTAGTGGTTCTCCTTCTGTGATTGAATCCTGACTTACACAGTTTGAGATAGAAACCTTCTGAAGCAATTAAATGGTCTATAACTGTGCTGTCCAACATGGTAGCCATTAGCTACATGTGGCTATTTAAATTTAAATTAATTAAAGTCAAACATAATTAGAATTTAGTACCCCAGTCAAGTTTCAAGTGCTCAATACTGTGGTCACATGTGGCTGATGGCCACTGTTTTGGGCAGCACAGATATAGAGCACTTCCATTATTGTAAAAAAAAAGTTCCATGCCGGGCGCGGTGGCTCAAGCCTGTAATCCCAGCACTTTGGGAGGCCGAGACAGGCGGATCACAAGGTCAGGAGATCGAGACCATCCTGGCTAACACAGTGAAACCCCGTCTCTACTAAAAAATACAAAAGACTAGCCGGGCGAGGTGGCGGGCGCCTGCAGTCCCAGCTACTCGGGAGGCTGAGGCAGGAGAATGGCCTGAACCCGGAAGGCGGAGCTTGCAGTGAGCTGAGATCCGGCCACTGCACCTCAGCCTGGGCGACAGAGCGAGACCCCGCCTCAACAAAAAAAAAAAAAAAAAAAAAAAGTTCCATTAGCACTGGTCTATAGTGATAATTACTAGTATTTACTGAGTTCTCACCATGTGTCAGATGCATTACAGGCATTTATTTTACATGCATTAACTCGGGGGTCCTCAACCTCCAGGCCAGGGATTGATACTAGTCCATGGCCTGTTAGGAACCGGGCCACAGAGCAGGAGGTGAGTGACAGGCGAGCATTACCACCTGAGCTCTGCCTCCTGGCAGATCAGCATCAGATTCTCATAGGAGTGTGAACCCTATTGTGAACTGCACATGGGAGAGATCTAGGTTGTGCACTCCTTATAAGAATCTAGTGTCTGATGATCTGAGGTAAAACAGTTTCATCCTGAAACCATCCCTCCTTCTCCCGCGCCAACCCCCAGTTGGTGGAAAAATTGTCTTCCACCAAACCAGTCCTTGGTGCCAAAAAGGTTGGGGACCACTGCATTAGCTCATTTAATCTGCCTATACCCATGGAACAGGAAGTGCTACTTTACATGTAAGGAAACTGAAACACAATGATTAAATGTCTTGTTAACATTTGACTGCAGAGCCTATGGTCTTAACCTATGCCACACTGTGAAGGTCTAGGTGGCCTGGCTTGGCACAAAGGGAGTGGGTGGCTCTGGTGGCGCCTCCTGCCCTCAAATGACTCTCTGAGGTTTGGACATTAGGCATCTCAGTAGCAACCATAATGGATTCCTCTAGTTTTCTTAGATTATATGAACTTGGGTTCTTACATGATTGCAGCAAAGAAGGGATGCCTACCCCACCCCATTCCACCTTCCAATGGCAGAATGAGATGCACCAACAATTCTGGCAAGAAGGGTCCCAGTCAGATGTATGAGTTAAGGCAATGCAAGCTGCTACAACAAACATGCCCTGAAATCTCAGGAGCTTTAAAAAATGGAAGTTTATTTTCCAGGTACAGTTTAATCAGCAGCCTAGAGTGAAGGGGTGGGAGGCCAGGGAAGAGGAATGTCATTCAGGGACCCACATTGACAGAGGTACTGCTATCTTCAATATGAAGATTCCAAGTTTGCTCTGGAGAGTACCATCTGGCAGGCAAACAGGGAAAGAGAGAAAGTGATAGGAATCAAGTAGGAGATTTTTTTTTTTGAGACAGAGTCTCACTCTGTCACCCAGGCTGGAGTGCAGTGGCATGATCTCGGTTCACTGCAACCTCCACCTCCCAGGTTCAAGCGATTCTCCTGCCTCAGTCTCCTGAGTAGCCAGGATTACAGGGTTGTACCACCACACCTGGCTAATTTTTGTATTTTTAGTAGAGACGGGGTTTCACCATGTTGGCCAGGCTTGTCTCGAACCCCTGACCTCAGGTGATCCGCTCTCCTTGGGCTCCCAAAGTGCTGAGATTACAGATGTAAGCCACAGCGCCTGGCGAGGTGGGAGATTTTTAATGGCCAGGCCTGGAGGTGGCACACATCACTTATACCCACGTCCATTGGCCAGCACTCAGTTACACCACCACTTCTAACTACACGAGAGGTTGGGAAATGTAGCCTAGCTGTGTGCTGAGGAAGAAAAAGTAAAAGCTTTGGTGCCAGCCAGTGTCTGCCACGTCAGATTTAATTTGAGTGCTGTAAAGTAATTAATACCCATTAAACCAAGGGTAGGACAAGATTAATGCTAAAATCACTCTCCCCAGCCACCATTTTCTCTCTTGTTCTTTGTCATGATATTGACAAGGTCAAAAGTCAG